TGTTAACTCAAGAGTTTAATAGTTTTCATATATCGTTAAAGTTCAAGTGCATACCATATAACAGCGATAGCAAATTGTTACCGATAACTGCTGCTTGTTACGATATTATTTACCTATTCTAATTGCCAAGCAGTGATAAATCAAAGATAGGCCAACCACCGTTAGAACTATATTAACCCGCTCGTATGCCATTGGTCAGCAAAGATAATGTAACGATGACGTAGGTACACTTCCGGTGATGACGTACAACACACTTCCGGGTTCCGATTTGCGGAATTGTAGCTCGTTCTTTAACACGGGGTGTATGGGGCGATAATCCCACTATATCTTCTAGTACACTATAGTTGTACCATTACTGGCGACCTTATCGCCTGCGCCGGCAAAACGGAAAAGTACCCAAATTTTTTATTCTTTGTTCTTAGGGAAAACATTGTATTTGTAAAGAAATCCAATGCTTTCTTTCTTATAAGTACATAGACTCTAGAATTCTATTGTTGTAATTCATTATGAATAAAAAAAGTATTTCTCAGTGAAATGACGTTTAACTATAAAATATGTACTATATGCTGCTGCCTTTGGTCGCATTTGTTGTTCCCAAAAATGCATAAAAAAAAAAAAAAAAAAAAAAAACCTGCCACTTTTATTTTAAAATGCTGAAACTAGGGGTTGGATAATCAGAGAATACTTAAATATTTAGTATTTGAATGAGGTTGATTATGTATGCTGCTTCATATAGCTTTGCCCAAAAAACAATGTACCATTCGTATGTAAACCACAAAATAAAGTATATTAAATTACTGTTGACCAATTTCAGTTTCTTGGTGCATATTTCATAGCTGAGTATACACATGTAATATGAATATGTGCCAGTTTTCAATGGAATGTACTACGCAAGGACATCATCTATACCCTTAGGTAGATAGCTTGAGCGGGCTTTGCCGTAATCAAATAAACCAGAACCATTCTACCTTACACTATTCATTTAACAAATGTGGCAAAATTTGGTACACTTCTGTTATCAGGACCGAATTCAGAAATGTGTGTATGGATGAATGCGTTCACATATGTACGTATGGCATGTATGTTTGTGTATAAACACACATATAAAAGTGCATACACGCATTTCCGAATCCAGTCCCGATAATAGAAGAGTACATAAATTTTTCTACTATAAAATAACATTTAGTGTGTATTTTTTTATAAGGAACAATATTGACTTGATCAGTTGCCATCAACTAATGTCAAGTGCAAGTGAAAAAACAAAGAATAATTATATAGAATTAAGATGTAATGTATATTAAAAATTTTTCTTTACTGTAAACTGTTATTTATTCATAGAACATTATACTTGTATTTTCTTTTATTAAATTAGTAACAGTTAAGAATTGTTCACGTGTGTTTCGTGTGGTTCTATTTTTAGTACAGTCAAAAGTCGTTAATTCGGACACCCCTAAATCCGGACCTCAAAGCTACAAACTTTCTGCTGTGGAATGAAGAATATTTGATTAGAAATTTTTTACCTTTTATATATATTTGATAACAAAATGTTATGAAAAGGTTAGGTTATGTTAAGCAACTTAACAAGTTATATGAAATGCCCGTTTAAGTTACTGCAATATCATGACACCGTAAATAAAGCATATCATAAGACATATTACCAAGATTAAATATAATTTGTTCCTTCTTTTACATCAATAATAAGTTTTTCTTTAAAAATTTTAGCACTAAAATGCCAAAACAAATTTATTATCGGTGCCTTTGATGCAAGGTCACACACGAAGATAAACTTGATTTAGCAAATTTCTGAAAACATTAAAATCAAAAGTGTTTAAATTACAGCAACATCTATTAAACTATTTTTTTTTTTTAAGCAATTGCCTGGTAAATTTTAACTTTTATATAAAAACTTAATTAAATTACGAATAAGTGACTAAGCTTGTACAGTATTCATGTTCATACATTGGAAATAAATTGCACTTAAATGAAAGAGCTGGAAATATAGTCTGCATGATGCATAAAATATGATCAAATAAATCTATTTGTTAAATATTTGAATGAATGCTTACTTTCAGGGATGTAGCTAGAGAGGGACAGTTTTATATATCACTATCGGGCAAGCCCGCTACATGAGGGAAGGGATGCTTTCGTGGAACGCCCGCTTTATTCACGTTAGGTCACTTGATTTACGTATGCAATCACAAGATATACGCTAGCTCGCATGATTGCTAGCGGAGAAGCCCGCCATTTGAGCGGGAAGAAGCCTGCTTTCATTGGCCTTTATTCGAAAGTTGGACCAAACTACCAGTGAAGCCCGCTTTCATTCGACGGGATTTGAAATTTGGAGCAAACTACCAGTGTTCAGCGATTTTTTTCCCGGGCTGCACCCGCTGTATTCACATATGCATCCACAATTTCTGAACAGTACACCGGGAATCGAAAGTTGGACCGAACTACCAGTATTCAGCGATTTTACCCGGGCTGCGCCCGCTTTATTGACGTTATTCACAAGATACTGCCAACATGTTACACATGCGGAAAATCACGAAAACACCTATGCAGTCAGCCTGCTTGCCGGGATTCGAAAATGGACCGAACTACCAGATTTAGCGCTTTATTCACATATGCATACAGAAGATAGTGCATAAACGATACACATGTGTAAAATCAAGAAAACACACATGGAGTCAGCCCGTTTGCCGGGATCGAAAGTTGGACCGAACTACCAGTGTTCATCGGTTTTACACGAATATGCATCCAGAAGACACTGCATACACGATACACATGCGGATTTTTATATATCATTCTAAAACATAACTTAAGATTGATTTGCAACACTTGATATAAATGATTTAATGTATTTTTACTCCTCCGAACTATTTTAATGACAAATTTATTCATTCATTTACAATGTTTATCAGATAATATCAAATCAATATTTATATCTGGTGTATCCTTAGCATTTTTTATATGTACTATAATTTTCTTAGTAAAAGTGCTGTACGCAAACAATGACATACTGGCAATGAAAATTTTGAGATTGTGCCAGTAAAAAAAAAAAAAAAAAAAAATCGCTAAATCTTCTTAGCACTGATGAGGCTTATAGTTACAGGTATCAACACTGCATAGAATCGACACCAATTCTAGTTACGAACATATAAGCAACACCATAAAATCGAATTTTTATAACGACATAATAATAGGTAAGAGAATTAATGCATATTTGCCCCAGAAATACAACTAAGATAATGTTTGAGATAATAAATATGGTTGCATCTTTAAATAACTATGCAAAATCTTTTTTCTTGCAACTAAAAGGCTGTGTATTCATGTATTTTTCTTATTCTACTAAATGTTCTACACGTTCTTATTCTACTAAATTAAAGCTTGTTATAAATAAAACAGGAATACATAAACAATCTAATAAATTACTGAACTGATTGATCCAAGTCCTTGCTTTCATTTGCTAACCTGTATATCTGTATACACATGTCTGTGCACGCTGTTTAATTTACTCCAAAGTTATTTAGTTACATGCAATCATATTTTGAATAATGGCTGAGAAATGAAATTACTTAAAAGTCTCTCCCCTATCAATATTTATCACTGAACAACAAATACTTGGGTGTTTTACATTAAAGAACAACAGTTTTACATTAAAGAACAACAGATTTTCTCGAAAAAGATACATGTGCCCGTTTGATACTTCAAGTGAGGAAAAATACTTTCATCATTAGCTAATTTTCACCATGGAGAAAATTTTTTTAAGCTACTTTAAAAACTTTTTATTACTAATACTTACTTCAAAACGAACATTGCTATAAAAGATAAGAAAAAACATTTAACTGTGCTCAGCGAGTAACAATGGTATGTATATCATTTTATAAGAAATTGTTTGGTGCATGCTATTCTATAGTGGAAAAGATTTGATATCTGTAATACTTTTTATACTATTACTCATACTACATCATCATAACTATTTTCTGAACTGGAAATTTTTTATGCTAACTATCCTGAACCACTGTAAACAGTTCTAAATAGTTTAACAGGAAATGACTCACACACAGAAATTTCAGCATTACTAGAATATGAAATTCAAAGTTCATCATTAACGTTAAAATAATTAACTTTTACTTTTATGTGTGTCATTCTATAAATTTTCATTTAAATCATTGCTAACATAAACTGAAACACAATTTAAATTTCTGCAGGTAAAATATGCATAAAAGCATAATTGTATATGTATGTGTATTAATAATATTTAAGAGATTAATGAGCTATAATGATTTATACTTCAATACACAAATATGCATGTTTACTTTCGAAGAACACACATACACATTTATATGTATGATACACGAGAAAGAAAACTTTTCTTACGAGAAAAAATGTAATCAGTTTTTTTTTTTTTTAAATGCTTAGAACGCACGTTCATATAATGTCCAACTTTCTTTCCAATTCGAAATACGCGAATCCACCCTCTTCGTTTTGCTATCTCGTTCGATATTTTTCGAACCAAGAATGCAATAGAAGCATAACTCAGGTTCCTTGCAAGCTCGTGATTTAGACTAGTGTACACAACAAAACGTGTGGTCTGTACTTCTTTTTAAGTTATACATATGCCCACAACAATAAAAAATAAAACGTTTAATTACTTTTCGATCACAACACGCTTCACAAACTAGGTAGCATTGTCAAACGTAAATACCGAGCTTTAATGTTTCCACCTTTTAGCCACTAGATGGCGTATCAGAGCGCTGGAATCGCGGATATTCATTCTGAAAAGATAACAGTGAGATCCAAGGGGGTACTGGATCACCAGTTAAGATGTCTTTGAAGCTGGAACCTGAATTCAGCGAGCTTCTACTTCTTTCTTAAACATTTTATGTCTTTTTTTCCAAGCTTTTTTTTTTTTTTTTATTTAAATTGCATTACTTCCCCCAAACTGTGCATCGCTTTGGCTTTAGAGCCCGGTGTTTGCTTCTGCACCAATTGGTTAAAAGTGTTACACTAACTTGCAAAATACAGCCGTCTGTCTCTTTTTTTTGTGTGTTCAAGGGAATTGAATTTGTTTATTCGCTTGTGTGGATTGTTCCGTTTCGAGAAATGTAATGTTCGTAAACTACTAATACCCAAATCATGGATCACACAATTTTGGAACCGATTTTACGAATCCAGATCGTATGTAAACATATCTACTTGATATCTGACAGATCAAATTAAATTCTAAAATGGGTTTCTCCAGGTCCTCAAGATTCAAATATGCTGTCGTATACGTGTGTGCTGTTTTATTCGCATTTGTGATTATTGGCACAGCTTTATTAAAGTCATGGAAGTTAAATGATAAGGAAGAAAACTTCGTATTTCGGGCAGTTGAAAACTCTCCAGAGATAAGAATCCTTGCAGGAGCACATTCTGCTGAACCTCGAAATAGAAATTGCAATTATTTTACTTGTTTTGATGTCTATAAATGCGGACATTCGGAAAATAAACTTAGTGTATATATTTATCCTATTTTCAGGTAAATTATACTTGTATCTTATGCATAATTTCAAAAGTTTAAAGATTGTTGTAATAAAGGATGCCAATTACAAAAAAGGGGATGCCTCCCCCTTTTTCGTAATTTAAATAGTATTACAAAGGAGAAATTAGACAGTTTGCGTTTAAAGCGTAGAATAATTTAAGAAGTACTTATTATCTGATAATATGTATGTGAACTTGAAAACTGTTATGAAATATTTCTAGCAGTTCAGAAGTCAAACAACAAAAATCAGCGTTAATTTGCAAAATTTTCACAGGACTAGTTTTGATGGTTTATTCGGCGTGTTATTGTGTCTTAATTTCTAGCAGTGTCTAAAAGATGAGTAAATTCTATGTACTTTATAATCTGCGAATGAAATCATACTTCTAGTAGATATATTTGTAGAGCACTTTGTAAGCCGCTGCCCTTCTCTGTTTTTTTTTTTTTTTTTTTTTTTTTTTTTTTTTTAAGTATTTCTAAGTAAGCCAATGTGCTAATGCTAGGGGAAAGTGCAGAATCACCCACTGCTTGGCATGTTTTTAAGAATTGCACTAACTCGGTATCCATGTACACATCAACCTATTTTCACTTAAAAAAACATCCCAGACTTTCATAAAAATGGTATTGCGCACTCCCTTGACACCGACCTATTTTCACTTAAAAAGTCAAAGAAAACTTATAAAAATCCAATTCGGTTGATCTTTACATTATGGTAACTTGGCGTTTTTTTGGCGAAAATTTGGCAACCAACTCTCCTACAGCAACCCTCTATTTTTTTTCCCCGCCGCCATTTTGTCTTCACGAAGTAAAGACATGTTTCTTTTCTTTTTATCTATTGAACACTTCTTCCAACAATCTAGTAGCCGAATTACACTTATGCTAGAAATTTTATCAAACAAAAACTGCTTAATCATGACAAATATCACTGCAAAATTGGGAAAAAAAAAGTGCACAATACCATACTCCTTACGCGTTTTTCAAAATAACCACATACACATAAACATGTACACGCCGACTTATTTTTGCTTAAAAAAAACATCCCAGAATTACACAAAAATGGCATTGCGCACACTCTTCACTATATCCATGTACACTACTTTTTTCTCATAAATTGCAAAAAATTTCACCGAAAATACATGATAATTTTCTGAATCTTTAAAACCCGGTAAAAAGAACATATATGAAAATTACCTGATCGCGAAAAAAAGTTTATACCCTTTCCAAATATGAACATTTCCACATATAAAATAAATCAAATATCCAAAAACTTTTACCTCTAAATCATCTATTATATATTACACGTCACCAACGAATTCATACCGCAAGCATTACAAATACTTAGTGTCAAATATTTAAATTATTTCCATGCAGGTTTACTTCAACTTAAACGTATACCAAAATTCCTACAAACATAATTCACAAAATAACTATCATTTAATTAAAATATCACTAAAACCATGTACACGTCTCGACTTATTTTTACTTAAAAAAACATCCCAGAATTACACAAAATGGCATTGCGCACACTCTTCACTATATCCATGTACACTGCTTTTTTCTCATAAATTAGAAAAATTTCACGAAAATACATGACAATTTTCACAATCTTTAAACCCGGTAAAAAGAACATATATGAAATTACCTGATCACGAAAAAAAGTATTTACCCTTTCCAAATATGAACATTTCCACATATAAAATAAATAAAAATATCCAAAAACTTTTAACTCTAAATCATCTATTACATTATACACGTCACCAACGAATTCATACCGCAAGTATTACAAATACTTAGTATCAAATATTTAAATTATTTCCATGCACGTTTACTTCAACTTAAAACGTATACCAAATTCCTACAAAAACATAAAATTCACAAAATAACTATCATTTAATTAAAAATCACTAAACCATGTACACGTCGACTTATTTTTTACTTAAAAAAACATCCCAGAATTGCACAAAAAATGGCATTGCGCACACTCTTCACTATATCCATGTACACTGCTTTTTTCTCATAAATTAGAAAATTTCACGAAAATACATGACAATTTTCACAATCTTTAAAACCCGGTTAAAAAGAACATATATGAAATACCTCATCGCGAAAAGTAGTATTACCCTTTCCAAATATGAACATTTCCACATATAAAATAAATAAAATATCCAAAAACTTTTACCTCTAAATCATCTATTATATTATAAACGTCACCAACGAATTCATACCGCAACCATTACAAATACTTAGTGTCAGATATTTAAATTATTTCCATGCACGTTTACTTCAACTGAAACGTATACCAAATTCCTACAAACATAAAATTCACAAAATCACTATCATTTAATTAAAATATAATTAAATTCAAAAACACTACTTAAAATATAAATGAGCACATACATTAAATTAATAAAAATTACCTTACAATCCTAATTACTTTAAACTAAATCATTGCTAATAACAATTTTCCCAATAATACCAAATTCCTTTACTTCCACCTTACATTTAGAACAATGCATAAAAATAATATCCTCAAATAATAATTAAAAATACTAACTTACCTTATCTTCTTCAGAATCTTGATTACGTGTCGATAAACTTTTCTTTAGTTACGGCCATGGGATCCAAAAATTCATGAACACTGTTTCACACAACACAGAATAAAGCCAAATACAAAATTTCCAGATTTTTTCCCGATTTCCCCCCTTTTCCGATTAAAGAACCGTAATTGGTCCATTAATATCACATGACATATCCCATGATCTCTCATTTCCCTCACACAAAATAATGCGTAATCGGAACTGAGTACTGCTCACATTATTACCAAAGTCCAGGTAGTTAGTAGTAACCTTTATCGCCTCCAAAATGTCGCCAAACTACCAGTTACCATATTGTAAAGATCAACCAAATAATATCCTCAAATAATTAAAAATGCTAACTTACCTAATCTTCTTCAGAATCTTGCTTACATGGTTGATACACTTTTATTATGTATTCAATAAAATTATTGAACGATTTTTTCTGCGAATTTTTCCCCCACACTTCCTCCGCTAAATAAAAAGCAAAATTCTCTTTATCACAATGCCTCGGAATGGCGCTTTTTATAGCACTCCACGTGCCCTGTATTGTATTGATATGTGCACCTGTTTCCGGATCTTTAAAATAATATTTGTGGATGTTTAAAACCTTCATCTTCCAAACATTCATACGATTGTTCACTTTAGACAGCGCCATACAATCCCAAAATTATTCAACCCTATTTCACACAACACACAATGAAGCTTAATACAAAATAATATACGCCACAGATATTTTTCCAAATTCCCCCCTTTTCCGATTAAAGAACCGTAATTCGTCCATTAATATCACATGACATATCTCATGATCTCTCATTTCCCTCACACAAAATAATGCGTAATTGGAACTGAGTACTGCTCACATTATTACCAAAGTCCCAGGTAGTAACCTTTATCGCCTCCAAAATGTCGCCAAACTATCAGTTACCATATTCTAAAGATCAGCCTAAAGTAAAATTAAATAAAAATGATAGTACATGAAGCTTTGAAACAAATAAAGCAAAATTAAACAAGATCTGATATATTTTTAAAAAATTTTACGAGAATTTTCAAGTAGTGGTTTTTAAAATTATTATAACATTACAAGACGGTCATTTATTTGATCATATGATCATTAACTATTAACATCATAAGATGATTATTTATTTTAATAATTCATAAAATTCGGAGCATAAACTTTTCTCAGTATAATGAAAATAAATAAATAAAGTCTGGAAGCACTCAGATTTTATGTTATATTCAAAGGGACATTTTTTAATGCTTTGTGTGTTACCTCTATTTATTGAATATCATGTTCTTCGCACGTAAACCACACAAAATTCAATTCAACAGCAGTATCACAAAATATTTGAAAACAGCATATCTTTAGAATTTCCACGCTGGAGATAAAAATGTTATTTTCCGTACAGTGTTGCCATTGCTCACTTTGAACTCGTTGAGTTTCTTAATAAAAAATTCGTTAAAATTTTACAAAATATGAAATGGATTAAAACAAATTCGAAATTTGGCTGTTCGGGTAGAGGATTACGTTATTCAAAATTTGATGGCTCTAGATACCTTAATTTTTTCACAGTACGAGAAACATACATGTAGTCATGCAGATCATTCATTATTAAATTTCTTTAAATATAATAATACAAAGCGCTAATATTTGGTGGCAGCAGTTTGCAAAGTGAAACGGATATTTATAATGAAACAGCGCAAAATGCCGTTTCGAAACTAATAGCCTTTCTGGGCTACCTCCCCTTTGGGCTAATAAATTAAATTCACAGTAAATAATAAAAAAAAATTATGCAGAACTAAAATTAAATTAAAAAACATAATCACTATAAAATGTTAGCACTATCAGTTATTACAATTTACAATTTTGACATTAGAATTAAATGTATAAAAATTATTAAGGTGTTAAAAGTGTTTATCACTATGATGTATTGTGAAATATAATTGAAATAAACCTCCTTTATAAAAAATATGCTATAATATTTACTTATAATCTTAAAAAAGCAGCACAATGTAGAATTTTAAGCAAAAACTTTCAAAAATTAATTTTTAGGTATTGTAGTATTTTTTACTTATTTACACTAATAAAAATTATAAGAGAAAATTCTTCGTTTGAAATTTTCTATTAGTTCAGATTTAAAATATTATTTTCTAAAAGAAGTAGTTAAAAATTTCCTTACAGCATAGGAAAAGCTAAAAAAGTAGCGAGGCCTGAAAGCATACAACAGCTTTATAATTATTTAGAACATTAATTATGCTTGATAAATATGCTAAACTTTTAAAAATCAATCTCAGTTTCAAAAATGAAAATATCTAAAAATTCTAATTTGTAAAATGAAGTGCTACAATCAATTTTTTTTTGACAATTATACACACTGCAGTAGCCAACCATTGTAAGTTTCTGCAAATTGTCCCCTCCTCCGGATGTGGTCAAGGTGACAGCCAGGAATGCGTCAGAAGAGGGAGAAAACCCATTTGGGTTGGTCTATTTCTTATAAGGTCCATGGACATATACAATGAGTAGTTAAACATGTCATTTTTGGGTTGGCAATAATTTTCAAAATCATGTCAAGGCTGCACCTCATACAGTCAAAAGTCTTTAATCCGGACTCGTAGGGACTTCGGCGATTCCGGATTATCGATTTTTCCCGATTATAGAGCATCAGTTTAAATCTGGTAAGATGGCATGCAAAAATTATAAAACTAAAAATATGAAACCGTGATTTATGAAATAAAGAGCAATTATGATCTAAAGGGTATCAAAATTTACAAAAAAATAAGCCTAATAGTTATTTGTTTACTTTATTAAACATTTCTTTTAACACGCACATGCGTAAAGCATACATTACGCATAGACGAAATTAGAAAATTGCAACCAGAAAGCTATTTGATGTGTATTTGTGATATTTATAATGACGAGGAATTTGATTTAAGTCATATCAAAGATAGAGTACATCGAGATGAAATACTACATTTAGTAAGGAATTATAAGCCGAATAAAATAAAAACATCTGCCCTGAAGATAACGATAGTGCTGACAGATAAACTTCCAGTTCACTGCGTGCCGCGATGTCCCCCCCCCTGCAGAGCAGCGTGAAATTGATAAACAGATTTCGGAATGGTTAGAGAAACAAAGGATATGCCTTTATCCATTTTTCACAGCAATTCCACTTTTTGTTTGATGGACATCGAAACATGCTTTCGCTTTGTAGATACTTTGGCAGCTTCAGAATCGGAAATCCTTTTTGACATAATCAAAAGTTCGAGCTCACTTTTATAAAATGCTCTAACAGTCTGCAAAAAATAATAAGCTGCATCCAATTAGAAGATTAAGGAACAACACAATCTGCAACATTACCTGAAATGGATAATTAAATAATTTTAGCTTAGCTTATATCGTCCGTTATACATTAAACACACATGCGTAAACGTATTATGTGCATGCATAAATGCATTATGAGTTTACGCATGCGCAGAAAGTTTGTAGCTTTGAGGTCCGGATTATAGATCATTCCGGATTAAAGACTTTTGACTGTACTAGGATTTTACCATCAATTTAATTTGGAAAAATGTAATTTTGTAAATAAAGGGCTCAGTAGTGTATTTTCTTTTAAAAAGTCCAGTTTATAAAAATCCAGTTAATTAATGAATGGTAATGTCAGTATCTGAATTGCTTTATTTTCATAATGGGTTAAATGATGAATAATGTACAACATAAGAAAGCACACATTCCTCTAAATTTGTAAAATATTTACTGTTTCTTACATAATTGAGATTATTGGCATTTGCTTACAATGCTTATTCATTTAATGACTGTGACTACAGTTTTCTGTCTGAAATGTGTTAGTATATATAGACCAGTTAAGTTAGGCTTTATTACCATTTTAAAGTTAATTGGTAGGAGGATAATTATTTATATCAGTTGTAGGAAGACGATATTATAAGTTTAATTAGTAATAATACTTAAAAAATATGAAAAGTTATAAAAATGTTTGAACTAATCATTTAGGTTATATTGTTGAAACATTTTTATAATTTGTTAAGGTTATATGCAGAAATAAGTTTCTGAGAAGGAAGCAAAGTTTTGATAACATACATATGTATTTCTTAAAGGCATAGTTTAATTTTGTGTTTCTTAGTGATAATGATTATTTTTTTCAGGTATGAAGATGATAAAGGTGTTCTTGTTTCAACACCATTTTCGCGTGAATTTACTGAAATTCTGAGAGGTATTTATGAAAGCCCATATTATATTTCTGATCCCAAGAAAGCTTGTATTTTTATCCCTTCACTTGATCTTCTGAATCAAAATACAGTGAGATTGAAAGAAACTTCACAGGTTTTGTCCACTCTTCCTTTGTAAGTGCAGTTATATTACAGTAGAGTTAGTGTATGTTGAATTATTAAGAATTATTCAGCTTTTTTGTTTTAAGTTGGTTAACTTTTAAATTTTAAAGATGCTAGTAATTATTGTAGCTACTAATGTTTAGGAAACTTTTTGTTTGCTGGGAGCATTATCATGCCAAATTGATTTAAGTTACAGAAAAATTCAAGCAAATTACCTAACATTATGTTTGTCAACTGTATATTAATATACAGCTGCTATTGTGCTGCTTGTCCAGTATTTTGAAATTTCAGCAATGAAGAATTTTAGGTTTCTTTTTAAAAGAAAATTATTTTTTGTAATATTTTTTACTGGCAGTTTGTTATTATTGAAAGCATTTCTTAATCTCTATGCTTTTAAATTAATATTTTATGCAGAGCTAATATTTATGAGTGCTTTCATGTTATAATGGTAAAGTATATTTACAGGTACCCCTTGGCAAAACTTGGCGATTTTTGGCGGCACATGGATACCAAGTTTGTGCAATTCTTCGACTTGTTATTTTGGCTTGCCAAAAATCGCCGCTCCAGATAAATAACAAGATAAAGAATTGCACAAACTCGGTATCCATGTACACATCGACCTATTTTCACTTAAAAAAAATCAGAGAATTGCACAAACTAGGCATTGCACACTCCTTGGCTTTGTCCATGTACACATCAATCTATATTCACTTTAAAAGTCAAAGGAGCAGCCAACAAATATATATAATCTAAATAAACTACATTTTAAATCAGACAGTGAAATAACATAAAAAAGGAAATTCATTTTTGCACTACACAAAGGAAATATCTACTTACCTTATTTACGAATTCACACATCTTCAGTCAAACAAAATTCCTTAACAGCATTCAAAAGCTTCCTAAAATTCTCTGAACTAGAATCTGTATACTGGCATCGCTACATAAATTCACAAAATAAGAGTAAAAAATATCCTCTGTAATGAGTTCGACCATACACATTTACTTCCTACAAACAAGACACCTAATAATGGCTACTAAATAAACCTTCATTTACACACCAGTCAAATAATGCTCTTTTCCCTTTCTTTCCAAATCATAGAGAAACTTCAAATTAATCTTACCTCATTCGGCCATTTTACTGTCTAAACCACAAAACAAGCGATATACTTCGTAACCAACACACACACACACTACAAGCCCTTACGAATTTACCATAATCATGCAACCAATTATGTCACAATAGGGCTTCCATACCATTCAACTACTCGGGCATAAATGAAACAACAACTTGGCGATAAATTAAACAATAACTTCGCGATAATACAAGGGGTACCCTTCTCTGTACTCTAACCATTATAATCATTATTTTATTTTCATCTATGAGTTTATTAGTTCAAAGGGGCAATTTGCCCAGAAGAACTATTAACTTCGTTTTGGCATTTTGCGTTGATTCACTTTTCAAATTGTGGCTAATCTTTGGAATATGGTAACAGGTAGTTTGGCGACATTTTGGTAGGCGATAAAGGTTACTACCTAGGACTTTGGGAATAATGTGAGAAGTACTCAGTTCTGATTACGCATTATTTTGTGTGAGGGAAATGAGAGATCATGAGATATGTCATGTGACATTTATGGACGAATTACAGATCTTTAATCGGAAAAGGGGGGAATTTGGAAAAATATCTGCAGTAGTTTATAGTATTTTGTATTTAGCTTCATTGTGTGTTGTGTGAAAGAGTGTTGATTAATTTTTGGATCCCATGGCGCTATCTAAAGTGAATTCTAAATTTTTATTCCGTTTATCTGATAATCCAAAAGAATTGCTTGAATGGTGTATGAATGTAGGATTAATTGCGGATAAGTATGAATGTCCAACACGTGGGAATGAAATGAGATTGTGTGAAAGGAAGGATATACAGATAAGTTTGAATGGCAGTGCAAGAAATCTGGTGAAAATGGACATTTTGTGAAACAGAGTGTAAGGAAGGGTACGTGGTTTGCTGAAAGTTGTTTGAGTATGGGTGAAATTTTATTAATTTCTTATTAGTGGGTGAGTAGACTGCCAGTTGACTACTGGATTATTGATACTATAAGAAAAGTTTAACCGCCATGCAATAAAGATTGTGAAGAAGATTAGGTTAGTATTTTAATCATTTGAGTATATTATTTTTATGCATGTAAGGAATAAATAAATTAATATGGTATTATTGGAAAATTGTTATTAGCAATGAATTAGTTTAAATTAATTAGGATTGTAAGCTAATTTTTATTAATTTAATGTATGTGCTTATTTATATTTTAAGTAGTATTTTTTAATTTAATTATATTTTAATTTAATGATCGTGATTTTGTGAGTTATATGTTTGTAGTATTTTGGAATACATTTGAGTAGAAGTAAATATGCATGGAAAGAATTTAAATATTTGACACTAAGTATTTGGAACCATTTTTAATGTTTGTGTTATAAATTTGCAGGTGACGTTTATAATAGATAATTTACAGGGAAAAGTTTTTGGATATTTTATTTATTTTATGCGTGCAAATGTTCATCCTTGGAAAGGGTATATACTTTTTCACAATCAGGTAATTTCATATAGGTGCTTTTTACCGAGTTTAAAGATTCACAAAATTTTCCTGCATTTTCATGCAAATTTTTCTAATTTATATGAAAAAAGCAGTATACATGGATAAAGTCAAGATTGTGCACAATGCCATTTTTGTGCAATTCTGGGATAAAATTAATTAAGTAAAAATAAGTCGACGTGTACATGATTACTGTGTATGTGCAATTCTGAAAAACGTGCAAGGAGTTTGCGATTCTGCACTTTTTCCCCAATTTTGCAGTTCATATTTGTAATGATTAAGCAGTTTTGTTCCATAAAATTTCTAGCATAAGTGTAATTCGGCTAGCAGATTGTTGGAAAAAGTGTTCAGTAAATAAAAAGAAAAGAAACATGTCTCTACTTCGTGAAGACAAAATGGCGCCGAAAAAAAAAAGTAGAAGGTTGCTGTAGCAAAGTTGGTCGCCAAAAAATTGCCAAGTTACCATAATCCAAAGATCAACCCAAATTGTTGCCACCAAATATTATAGCCCTGTATTATATTTAAAGAAATTAAATAATGAAGAATCTGTATAAATGTATGTATTTTTCTCTCATTGTGATAAAACAATGGTACCTAGAGCTATCAAATTTTGAATAACGTACATTTCCACGAGAATATGGGCATCTGGAAGCCCAAATTTGGAATTTGTTTTATTTTCTATTTCATATTTTATAAAACTTTAGCGAATTTTTTATTAGCAAACTCAACAGTTTCAAAATGAGCAACGGCAACACTGTGCGGGGGGGGGGGGGATTTTGCGATTTTGCTGTTGAACTGAATTTTATGGTTATGGAAGTTATGTATGGAAGTGCAAAGAACATGATATTTAATAAATAAGGAATAAAGGTAACACACAAAATGTTAAAAAAAAAAAAAAAAAAAAAAAATGTAATTAATGTAAAATCTGAAACCTCTCAGATTTTATTCATTTTTTTTCTTTGGTCAGTATTCATATCTGGTATTCTTATATGCTTTTGGCAATTATCAGTCAAAATGCAAAGCAGCTTAGTTCTAGAGTTTTTCAGATTTCTTACGGAAATGTTAATTTGTACCTGTGTAGCAGAGCCCTAGCTGAGTGATCTTTATTCTGTTTTCAGTAAATAGTTGATTAATTTAATATTCAGTTAAATAATGTGTTATGTAAAGCTCATAGATTGTTGCTCATAAAATACATCTTTTTTGATGAAGAAAAAAATTTTACTTTGCGAATACCTGTAAATTAAGAGTGTTGTATGAAGCTTCAACAAAAAAATTTGAAGCAAGTTTTTGATCAAATGTCTAGTTTAAAGTAAAATTTAAATCTTTAGTAACAGAAGATGTATTATAATCTGGAACTTTATTGCCTACTTTAATGTTAAAATATAGGATAACTATAAATTTTATAAAATATAAAAAAGCTTACTCATTTTGAAATTATTTAAAAAAAAAAAATCTGAAAGCTTTCAGATTTTATATTACACCCAAAGGTACCTTTTTTCATTTACATACACATACGTGTTTCGAGAGCATTTGAGCTATGTCCCATTAGGCTAAAAATATTTAAAAAGTGCATATCTTTAGAATTTCTGATAGACAGTCTTGTGTGCTGGAGATAAAAATATTTTTGGCTAAGATATCATGTATGGCCCGAGATACATGTAGTCGGTCGCCATATAAGACGATATTTTGTGTTGGATGGTTTATTTGAGATTTTGTTTGCATGGCAATGCTTTTTTACGTGGAAACATTTGTGGGGAATGTGGTTTTATTTCATCATGGTGGTTTTTTAGTTATTTGTTGAATAATGGCATATAGTTCCATGGAGGAAGTTGGGGAGAGATATCAGCCGCACGTTTTAGAGTGTATTCAAGTTAGATTTATTTCCAGAAGATACGAGGCGTATTCGGAAACTAAGTACCGTTTTGAAAAAAAAAAAATAGTAAAACAATTTTTTCGAATCCAATTTTATTTTTACATGAAAATACATGTCTTACACTATTTTTCAACATAGTTTCTGCCAATGATCAAACACTTGTCATGTCAGGTGACCAGTTTTTGTATACCATCGTCAAAGAAACTTCCCGCCAGTTTCGATAACCACGACTCCACAGCATTTTTCGTGTCATCGTCACATCCAAAGCGCTTGCCACCAAGCTCGCGCTTCATGTGCAGGAACAAGTGATAGTCGGACGGCGCCAAGTCCGGGCTGTACGGCGGGTGATCGAACTGCTCCCAATGAAACTGTCGAATTAACGATTGAGTGACACCAGCAGTATGGGGCTGAGCATGTCATGGTGGCAACACAATTCCTTTTACTGAGCATTCCTCTTCGTTTGTTTTGAATGGCATGCCTTAGTTTTGTTAAAGTCTCACAATATCGTGCCACATTAATGGTTTCACCTCTGGGAAGAAATTCAGTAAGCAAAACG